TCCGGAACCATTGTGGACATTATTGAGTGCACTTATTCAATCTCACATTTAACCCCACTACTGGAAATGTGTTGTAGAAATACATTTGACATTGATATGAGGGTAGGTAGGCAGGCATAGATTCAGAGGCAAAAGGTACTGTAAGTATTACATACAACAATAATAAAACAATGCATTGACAGTTACTTTTTACTTTTGATACTTAAGTACTTTTAAAAACAAGTACTTCTGTACTTTTACTTAAGTAAAAATCAGACTTTTCAACTTTTACTTGTAACGGAGTAATATTTGTCCAGTAGTATCTATACTTTCTCTCAAGTAAGGAAGTTGTGTACTTTGTCCACCTCTGATAATTTGCATTTAGCTTGCATTTTTTGTTTATATATACATACACTCACCTACAGGATTATTAGGAACACCTGTTCAATTTCTCATTAATGCAATTATCGAATCAACCAATCACATGGCAGTTGCTTCAATGCATTTAGGGGTGTGGTCCTGGTCAAGACAATCTCCTGAACTCCAAACTGAATGTCAGAATGGGAACGAAAGGGGATTTAAGCAAATTTGAGCGTGGCATGGTTGTTGGTGCCAGACGGGCCGGTCTGAGTATTTCACAATCTGCTCAGTTACTGGGATTTTCACGCACAACCATTTCTAGGGTTTACAAAGAATGGTGTGAAAAGGGAAAAACATCCAGTATGCGGCAGTCCTGTGGGCGAAAATGCCTTGTTGATGCTAGAGGTCAGAGGAGAATGGGCCGACTGATTCAAGCTGATAGAAGAGCAACTTTGACTGAAATAACCACTCGTTACAACCGAGGTATGCAGCAAAGCATTTGTGAAGCCACAACACGCACAACCTTGAGGCGGATGGGCTACAACAGCAGAAGACCCCACCGGGGGTACCACTCATCTCCACTACAAATAGGAAAAAGAGGCTACAATTTGCAAGAGCTCACCAAAATTGAACAGTTGAAGACTGGAAAAATGTTGCCTGGTCTGATGAGTCTCGATTTCTGTTGAGACATTCAGATGGAGTCAGAATTTGGCGTAAACAGAATGAGAACATGGATCCATCATGTCTTGTTACCACTGTGCAGGCTGGTGGTGGTGGTGTAATGGTGTGGGGGATGTTTTCTTGGCACACTTTAGGCCCCTTAGTGCCAATTGGGCATCGTTTAAATGCCACCGCCTACCTGAGCATTGTTTCTGACCATGTCCATCCCTTTATGGCCACCATGTACCCATCCTCTGATGGCTACTTCCAGCAGGATAATGCACCATGTCACAAAGCTCGAATCATTTCAAATTGGTTTCTTGAACATGACAATGAGTTCACTGTACTAAAATGGCCCCCACAGTCACCAGATCTCAACCCAATAGAGCATCTTTGGGATGTGGTGGAACGGGAGCTTCGTGCCCTGGATGTGCATCCCACAAATCTCCATCAACTGCAAGATGCTACCCTATCAATATGGGCCAACATTTCTAAAGAATGCTTTCAGCACCTTGTTGAATCAATGCCACGTAGAATTAAGGCAGTTCTGAAGGCGAAAGGGGGTCAAACACAGTATTAGTATGGTGTTCCTAATAATCCTTTAGGTGAGTGTATATATTATATATACATATATCAAATCATGAAGATAATATTGATTATTGAACTGAATCCTGAGAAAACTCTCTTCTCACCTCTAAACTGGAACATTTTAATGTTGGTTTCACTCCACTTGTCTGTGTGTTCATACATTTCCAACACTCCATCCAACATTTGTTAATATCAGTACTTGTTTCAGAATGTTCAGAGAAAGTTACATACCCATAATGTTTGCCAAATGTTGAATGGAATGTTTCCTTAACGTTCGCCGAAACCAAGAAAAAACACGTTTTTAAAACACGTGATAAACTGGACTTTTTGAACGATAAGATCATTCAGAAATAAAGTTTTTCGCGACTTAATGGGAACATTACTAAACCGGTCTTATTTCTGTCAGCTGTGGATGTACAGCAATAACTTTTACAAACAATTCAACTGTAAGATCCTCAGATGGGAAAAGCTATAGAAGAATGGGAAGACAGTCTCAGTGAAGCTGGTTGTGAACGTGTATAGATGCGTGTTAGATACAGGATCGGAGAATGACACCGTTCCTCTTTCAAAGTCCAGCTGAACTCTCACCCGCTCCAGCTTCTGTTCCACAGGAAAACCAGACTCTTCAAACAGTCTGTACTGCACACTCCACACACCAGTGTCAAAGAAATCACATCCCTTCCTCTGGTTCGATGCCGCAGTTACTCCCAGAGCCCAGGACGAGCTCTCTTTAACCTCCACGTCCCAGCAGTGTGTCCCCGAGTCAAACCCCTCTGAACCCAGAACGCAGGAATGCTCGTCGAATCTCTCTGGATTATCAGGAAGCGTTTGACTGTTCGAACTGCATCTCAGACTGGTCAAATCATCAGACAAGAGGAGATCTGGATGAGCTGTATTTGGATCCAGAATCACAGGAGCTGATGAGACACAATCAACAGCTGCTTTTATTCTGATCTTCATATGATCAAGAGTGAACTGTACACAAATGAAGATGGATTATGAACCTTTCATCCAAATGTTACAAAAAAAGGGGGTGTTGTACTGAATTGTGGATGAATTTATAAACATTGAGAAACAAAGTTGAACAGAAATAAACACAAACAGAAAAAGGAAATGTTGCATGTGAAATTATACCAAAGTATGAACTAAATAGTGTAATAAGTGCTTACACTGGCCTAAATCAATGATAAGATGTGCTGTCCCAATCACTCAAATGTTACCAAAAATGGTATTTTGGATCAGTTTACATAAAAGGGAATATGTTGGGCTGATGTTTTTAATTTATGGCAAGAACCATAAATTAAAGAAACCTTACACAAGGCGGAACTTCAAAAACTGCCCCAATCACCCTTATTTCACCCCTATTATTTGGCCTTGACTTGAGCGCTTGAAAACAAAGTCCACTAGATAGTGCCAATGTGCCAAACGTGTCGTTCCGCACTCACAGCCAACGGAGTACTTTAAAATGCTTGCGCAAAGTAGAATGCAGAAAATTAAGCATACCCGGGCCTTAAGAAATGTTATTTTTGCATCCCATGATAAAAACTGTAGAGATCTGCTAAATAAATGTAACTAAATATCAGTGTGTGCCAGAGTTGTTGTTCTCTTGTTTACAGCTCATTTTGGTGTTGCTGTTGCAGGTCATCTGGTTATTCCACACATCATGACTAAATCTTTAAAGTCCCCCCTGTAGTCAATACTTTTATCCTTTAAAACTCATCTTTGATAACAGAAATTACACATTTAAATGTTTTTTCCTTGAAAAAAAACAAATATTCATGCCTTAAAATAGCTTGAACGTAACTCTACACCCTTGCCTCATTTAGTATACGTGGTTCTATGAATATACAAATTAGCCCCGCCTCCACTCAATCACTCAAGGCCAATTTATACTTCTGCGTCGGGTGCGCGCAGTAGGTATGGCGTAGCATACGCACAGACGCGTACCATACGCCGTACCCTTCGCCGTAAGCTGACGCGCACCTCCTCAAAAATGTAACTACACGTCGCGACGACACGGACCGCAAGATCTGTGATTGGTCGGCTTGGTAGCATCGCGTTTCCTCCTATGCATTTCCGGCGTGTTCTTCTGCACCGCCCGCCATTTTTAAATTCTAAGTACAGCGAAACTGTTAAAAAAACTAAAAATGTACCTTTTCCACCTCGATAAGCTCCAACTCCAACATGATCTGCTCTCTTTCAGTCGCCATTGCTTGTAGTAACCTAAACTCAAAACAGCCGCGAGGAATCTTCTTCTTCTTGCCGCGAGGAATCTAAACACAGTGGAACATTAAAACCCTCCGCCGCCAACTAGCGTTTCGGCGCTGTACTGCAGAGCAACGCAGAGCTAAACGCAGAAGTATAAATGCTCATGACGGCGTCGCCTACGTGCGTAGCCTACGCCGTACACTACGGCGTACACTCGACGCAGAAGTATAAATTGGCCTTCAGTCTTTGAGTTTGTCAAAGCATATTAAAAACACCACATAGACATATTAAACAACATTAAAAACTTGATTTTCACCATAGGGGGACTATTCACCCATCTGTCATTTAAACTGTATGTGCAACAGCGCAGTGGTTCTCAACCAGCGCCGGAAGCCTCAGCAAATGTCCAAGGGGGGGCGAAAAATAGCTTACAATGATTAAAAATAAAATAAACTTTAAAAAGACAGCTGACAATCAAGACATTTTTCTTATTTCAATTTGTTCCCTTGGTCTTAGAAAACCTGGATACTGTATATGAGGGAATTTTAAAAGTGTGATTTCCAGACATCGTAAAGTCATGGAAATTTCTATAATGATTATTAATTTCATAGTTATATCAAGCTCATAGCTTGGGATTTGGGAAACCAAGTGGTTTTATTTGTTTTAAAGCTTACACTTGAGTAAGCAAACTGTACTTTTATGTAATTTATGTAATAAATGGAACCTTATTGTAAAGTGTTACCGATTTAGTTATACACCGATTAAAGGTACCGTGAGTTCAGTGTTGGAAAGATCAGTTGTTTTAACCATTCATTAAAACGAATCGGTTCAAATGAGTCATTAGTTCGCGAATTGGACGTGTCATTATCAGACGTGTGCCGGCGGTTGGGACATACCACAAGATGTGTCATCACAGAAAACATTTCATCACTGGATAGTTTTTTTTCGTTTATTTAAAGTGTGGTTTATGTCAGCTGAATGTGCGGAACGCTTTTCAGAGAAGATAAGGCAATGTATTTTAGCACAATTCACACCCAGCGGTAGCCTAATTCAGGAAAAACAAATCTCTGAATGCTCCACATGAAACATTGGTCTCCCGACCTTGCCATTGTGTCGTTTATTTTGATTAATATGTGCGAGGGAGAGAGAGCGAGACAGCGCTTAGTTTCGAGACGGTGAAGCCGGCCTTGCTCCGAAGATAGAGAGTGCGTGCGCGCAACCAGGGCTCTCTCTGATCGTTCAGTTAAACATGTGCCCTGTCACAAGCGCAGCAGTTCATCTACATTACTCACCGATCAAATAAGACTTTGGCGGTACATAAATTCGCTTTGGACGCCGTGCTATGGTGCTTGATAAAGGACAAAAGGGACAGTTGTGAGTTCACGGTCTGTAGCCTACATACTATGGCTAACTCAGAGCAGGAGCATTGATATGAGGACTCGTTAACGTCAAGGGCAGACAATATCGATGGATCGTAAAACTTAGAGCCGGTTCTCAAGTGGAACCGGTTTTCAAGTCCCATCCCTACGCAAAACTGTGCAAATTATACTTTGTTCTCAAATTGTTAATGTTAACAACGTCAGTATTGCGTGACTACAGCATTGCGTGTACTTCCGATATGTATCCTTGTTTTCGCATGGGTCCGGTTGCAGTCTCTTTTTTTCTGTAAGTTCTGTAAGTCTTTTGCATTTTACAACGGGTGAGTCTCCAGTTGTCACTGGTGATTGTTGTTTGAACCTTTCTGGATCCGCCATCAAATTGATAAGTTTAATTATATCAAGTGCTGTGAGAAAAGGCTATAGCATCCTCACACGCAATATAGCCTACTAGCCGAGACTCCTTCTTTATGTGTACAGATGTGACGTAATGACTCAATATAGCCTACTAGCCGAGACTCTTCTTTATGTGTACAGATGTGACGTAATGACTCAATATAGCCTACTAGCCGAGACTCTTCTTTATGTGTACAAATGTGACGTAATGACTCAATATAGCCTACTAGCCGAGACTCTTCTTTAAGTGTACAGATGTGACGTAATGACTCAATATAGCCGACTAGCCAAGACTCTTCTTTATGTGTACAGATGTAACGTAATGACTCAATATAGCCTACTAGCCGAGACTCTTCTTTATGTGTACAGATGTGACGTAATGACTCAATATAGCCTACTAGCCGAGACTCTTCTTTATGTGTACAAATGTGACGTAATGACTCAATGTAGTCTACTAGCCGAGACTCTTCTTTAAGTGTACAGATGTGACGTAATGACTCAATATAGTCTACTAGCCGAGACTCTTCTTTATGTGTACAGATGTGACGTAATGACTCAATATAGCCGACTAGCCGAGACTCTTCTTTATGTGTACAGATGTGACGTAATGACTCAATATAGCCGACTAGCCGAGACTCTTCTTTATGTGTACAGATGTGACGTAATGACTCAATATAGCCTACTAGCCGAGACTCTTCTTTATGTGTACAGATGTGACGTAATGACTCAATATAGCCTACTAGCCGAGACTCTTCTTTATGTGTACAGATGTGACGTAATGACTCAATATAGTCTACTAGCCGAGACTCTTCTTTATGTGTACAGATGTGACGTAATGACTCAATATAGCCTACTAGCCGAGACTCCTCTTTATGTGTACAAATGTGACGTAATGACTCAATATAGCCTACTAGCTGAGACTCTTCTTTATGTGTACAGATGTGACGTAATGAATCAATATAGCCTTCTAGCCGAGACTCTTCTTTATGTGTACAGATGTGACGTAATGACTCAATATAGCCTACTAGCCGAGACTCTTCTTTATGTGTACAGATGTGACGTAATGACTCAATATAGCCTACTAGCCGAGACTCCTTCTTTATGTGTACAGATGTGACGTAATGACTCAATATAGTCTACTAGCCGAGACTCTTCTTTATGTGTACAGATGTGACGTAATGACTCAATATAGCCTACTAGCCGAGACTCCTCTTTATGTGTACAAATGTGACGTAATGAATCAATATAGCCTACTAGCCGAGACTCTTCTTTATGTGTACAGATGTGACGTAATGAATCAATATAGCCTTCTAGCCGAGACTCTTCTTTATGTGTACAGATGTGACGTAATGACTCAATATAGCCTACTAGCCGAGACTCTTCTTTATGTGTACAGATGTGACGTAATGACTCAATATAGCCTACTAGCCGAGACTCCTTCTTTATGTGTACAGATGTGATGTAATGACGCAAAGACATGCTCGAATCTCCCGCGGAAATCCGCCAGTACCACTGGAATTAAAAACGTTATTACAAGCTTACCGCTTTGAATCGAGCTAAGGCAAGCAGATACTTTTGAACACTGGCTGATTATGTATTTTCTCAAATATGTATTTTTGTATTGCAAATAATTGCTGTTCTTTTGAACTTTCTATTCAGGATTCTATTCAAAGAGCCTAGGTGAGCAAAAAGACCCAAGCTTCTGAAGCTTCCTGGACACTAAGGGCCTTGCAGTCAAAATGTTTGAGAATCACTTATCTAAAGAAGACTCACTGTTTTGGATAATGTCTTGCGCCTTCTTCCAGACTCTGAACGGCAGGTTGCCCAAGTAAGGCGCCACATGAATCAAAGCTCCAGAAGCCATGTGTGGATCCGGCTGTGAGCTCTGGACTCTGGAAGAATATTCAGAAGTCAGAACTACAGTGGCTTTGGATCAGAAACAGAGAAACGTCACGGTTACGTATGTAACCCTCGTTCCCTGAGTAGGAAATGGATATGTTACGTCGAATGACAACAAAATGGGGTTTCGCTTAGAAAGCCTATCAACTTCGAGTATTACAAAACGAGCCAATTTTTTTTTTTTTTATTTAACAGGGACAATACACTAAGCATTGTTACACATAGACAACCGATGCTGTGTACATAGGGCATATAGCATAAAGCTAGTTTGCGGCCCGCGTCCCTGGTTAGGCTTTTACATAAAATCAAAACATCCAAAAAACAAAACAAAAAAACAAACAAACAATCATCACAAGAAACAAAACAAATACAAATACACACATGTATACATGTGTGCACATGTTGTACCCAAACAAATCAACAATGACATATTGACATACCTAAACACATCAACTTCATAAAAATAACGTAACTAATCTAAAAAAAATAAAAATAACCTCAATGTTCACATCGCTGTGTAGATTTCAGCCATTGTTTCAGCTTTGTACAGAAAACCGTAAGTTCTGGTTGCAACTTTAGATTCACCGGCATGGTGTTCCATAGATGTCCACCTTTCACTGAAAAGGATGATTGACCCATTGCAGTTCTGCATCTCCGTACTCTACAATTCCCAATGGCAAAGAAATGCTATGGGTCTGCGGATTTTGCATAGTGTGACTCCGCCCCACCTTGTGGGTATATAAGGATATACGCTGGCAATATGCAGATATGTTACTTGCTGAGGAGGCGAGACTGAACTCAGACTGTTCCAGCGGTACAGCGAAGTGGAAGGGAGACATACGTAACCGAGACGTTCCCTTTCGTAGTCACTTCGAGTTGCGTCGAATGACGATGAAATGGGGTTCCCAGATATGACCCAGAGGGGCAGCATATGAAGAAACACTGGGGTGTTCAGCCCGCAGGGTGGAATGTTTCAACCCCAGGAGTGGCAAGGTGGCTTGCCAAGGGAAAGACACATGCTCGGAGAGGCTTACAGTCGAAATACACATGTGGGATGGTCACCAGTGGGATGGTCACGGGAACCAAGCACATGGAGGCACGTAGCCAACGTGAAAGCTGCCGCAGGCATAGACTCTGGCGTTGACGTCAACAGCGCTGAAGGAACTCAGGGCTTGGGGAAAGCTCACCTGAGGGATATATCGCACGTATCCAGTCCGTGGAGTGGAATGGTGAGCAAGCAAAGACATCTGAGCGGGTCCTAGTACCGGCTGGTTGAAGCGAGTACATGGGAGGACACTGGCTCGACTCAGAGATTGTAGAATCTGGCGAATGTGTTGGGTGTTGCCCAGCCTGCAGCTCTGCAGATGTCTGTTAGCGAGGCGCCATGCGCTAGAGCCCAAGAGGAAGCCACACTCCGGGTGGAGTGAGCTTTCACACCAAGAGCTTTTCACAGAAAAAAAGGTCAGCCTTGCTTCTGGTATGCCAAAGCAATGGCATCCACTATCCAGTGAAACAGCCTCTGCTTGGAGAGAGCCTTTCCCTTCAGCTTCCCATAAAAGACAAAGACCTGGTCTGAGGTCCTGAAACACTGCGTTCTGTCTACGTAAGCACGGAGGGCGCGTACTGGACAGAGCAGTGCCAAGGCTGGGTCTGCCTCCTCCAGGGGCAGCGCTTGCAGGTTCACCACCTGATCTCGAAAGGGAGTGGTGGGAACCTTGGGCACATATCCAGGCCGGAGTCTCAGGATCACATGAGAATAGGCCGGCCTGAATTCCAGGCACGCTTCGTCAACGGAAAATGCGTGCAGGTCCCCTACCCTCTTAATGGAGGCCAATGCAACCGGGAGCGCTGTCTTAACTGACAGGAACTTAAGCTCCACTGATTGCAGAGGCTCAAAGGGAGCACTCTGCAGGGCAGTTAGAACCACTGAGAGGTCCCAAGAGGGAGGGCGAGGAGGATTCAGTCTCCTCGCTCCTCTCAGGAACCTGATGATCAGGTTGTGCTTTCCCACGGACTTACCCTCAACTGCGTCAACAGGAAGGAAAGCACGACACTGATCGGGCATTTTCTGGGGTCTTCTCGGTGAGAAGAGCACCAGTTGACGAAGAGGTTCCACTCCAACGCATAGGCATGTCTCGTGGACAATGCTCAAGTGGAAGTGATGGTAGTACTCAAATGGTAGTACCGCTGGTGGTAGGGGACTCAAACCTGCCTTGTCCTGTCCAGGAGCCACACGTAGAGGTTTCAAAGTACGGGACGAGGGTGCCATAGGGTGCCCCGTCTCTGAGAAAGGGTCCTTCCTCAGAGGAATTGGCCAGGAAGGTGCTGTCGCGAGGAGTACAAGTTCGGAGAACCAGGTCCGGCTGGGCCAATGAGGCGCAACCAAAATGACCTCCTCCTCGTCCTCCCTGATCTTGCACAGGGTCTGTACAAGAAGGCTGACTGGGGGAAACGCATACTTTCGGAGGCCCCGCGGCTAGCTGTGCGCCGGATGGTTCCACACAAGCCCGATACTCGCGGCGGCCGGAAAAGCATAGCTGTAACCTGTGGATCAGACTCGTTATGCTAGCACACCCGAGCTCATTTAGAACCGCACGGGTTGCAATGTGAAAGACGGGGTGTGGAGCGAGGATGTTTCGTTGGTTTAGTTCCAGACCAGCCGTCTTAGGTTACCCTGGCCACCAGCCAAAGTATTATATCGCGTGGAGAAAATAGATTGGGGTGTGGATAAGGGGACTCTCGCTGTATTGAGCTCATTGAGTCTCAGCCATTACATTGCGATGGTCATGTTCCAGGGGTCGGCAACCCAAAATGTTGAAAGAGCCATATTGGACCAAAAAAAAAAAATCTGTCTGGAGCCGCAAAAAAATAAAAGCTTTATATAAGCCTTATAATGAAGGCAACACATGCTGTAAGTGTTATATTAGCTTTATTAGCCCCTTAGTATCAAAATGATAAGTAGGCTACAAATTAGAGCTTAGATCGGGCCCAGAAAATCAAGCCCGGCCCGGCCCGACACATTAAACGTAATTATGAGACCGAGCCCGATTTTAACGCGACCATTTTTTAATGCGTGGGTCGTTATAACTGACGTTCTCAACTTTCTTTCTCCTGCCCGCAACATTTATGTTTTGTCCCGCTCCCGCCCGCAAATAGACTTTTTTCTGTACCTCCAAATACTTAAGTTAGCCTACGTGTCGCCACCATACATCCTCCTGATAAATTATTTGTTATTAAAGCATTAAAACACAAACCACTGTTAATTTAACATAAAAGCAAGCAGTTTACTGCGTGCAAGGTTTGGCATGACTGAATGGGCGCAAAGTGCGCTCTCTTAATAATTCCTAAAAAGCTGACAGTTCATCGCGATCTCACACATCTCTGTTATTATCAATGAAGCTGACTGCACAATGAATCTTTCATAATATCCACACTTTGTTCGTTATAATTAGAGGATTTGCCAGCATACAGAATTCAGCACTGAACAAAAAAGTCTGCTTTGAGCGGTGAGGGGAGTCTATCTTAAATGTTTCTGATTGGCCATTGCGTTCAAGAAATCAACACATATGTCTGTGATTGGCTATATCGCTCAACGCTGCAAACATGTTACGAATAGAAATTCTGGCCTGTAAATCGTTTCTATTTTGTTTTAGTAGAGTGAGTGCATTACCGCACGCGCCCGCGCTCGGCCATCAAATCTAGTCCCGCGCCGCACTCTATTGCGTTGGGAGTGCTCAGCTATCTTTCTCTTTTTCCCCTTGGGATCCATGGCCCATGACACACCCGCCGGTTTGTTTGTCAGCCACCGGTCTGGCATCACGCCAATCTGACAGACACGTGTGTCAAAGTGTATGGCGTAAATTCTTCGTTGACAAGAAATGTTGAAATTAAATATTTATTATACACATTTTTACAACGTTGAAAAACTTTAAGAAAGTTTGTCATGTTTTTCCTCCTACACAAATTATATTAAAACAAAAAAATATTTTTTCCATTTTCAAATTTTTGAAAAAAACTCCAGGGAGCCACTAGGGCGGCGCTTAAGAGCCGCATGCTGCTCTAGAGCCGCGGGTTGCCGACCTATGCGCTAGGAGAACGTGACACATCCACGAACGCTGTCTGAGTGTGATCGAAGCCCAAACAGCACTCGTGCCCATCAGCGGAATCGATCAGACTACCGCACTCAGAAATACACAGGCAGATCGTCTTTAGAAAGACGTACCACGTGCACGCTCTTTATGTGAGAGAAAAGCTTTCAGCAGTGCTGAAGCGTCCAGGTAGAAACACACACGCTGTTCAGATCAGCAGGCAGGAATGTGAAACTCGCTGGAACACGCCATCACACCAACACCGCTGGAAGCTGCTCGTCTAGAAGATTCTCGAAGATAGTCAGAGAATAGGCTGCAGGAGTGAAGAGGACTTCTTGGCTCCGAAGTAAAAACAGATCAGCATATTGCCAGCATACTTCCCTACCCACGAGGTGGGGCTGAGTCACGCTATGCAAAATCCACAGACCCATAGCATTTCTTCTTTGCCATTGGCTCATTTTGTAATACTCGAAGTTGATAGGGTGGCGATGGCGCAGTGGATAAGACACATGCCTTTGGTGTGAGAGACCCGGGTTCGAATCCACTGTGAGACACCAATGTGTCCCTGGGCAAGACACTTAACCCCTAGTTGCTCCAGAGGCGTGCGACCTCTGCCATATATAGCAATTGTAAGTTGCTTTGGATAAAAGCGTCAGCTAAATGAATAAATATAAATGTAAATGATAGGCTTTCTAAGCGAAACCCCATTTCGTCATCATTCGACGTAACTCGAAGTGACTACGAGAGGGAACCAGTAGATCACTCACCTTTCCATTGTGACTGGAAAGTTCTGCAGAATAAACAGATAATTTATTATCTCCCAAAATGACAGGATGTGATCAATCAATGTATCAATTATCAGAAATGAGACCTTTAGAAACAAGACTTCACTGGCATTCATCATCTCCTCCATGTCCTGGATTGTGTGTGAAAGAGCTAAGATGTGTCTGTTCATCTCCTCAAGCTTCTCCTTCATCGCCTGATTCTTCCGCTCCTCTTCCTCCCTCAATGTAGCGATTGCTATTTCTTCTTCATCTCTGAGGAACTGATGAAGCTTTTTAAACTCCAGTTTAATCTGACAGTCTGTGTGCTCAGCTTGAGACTGAAATTAAATAACATTCCCTTATTAATAAATAATACATTTGATTTGTTATGCTCTTTTTTTTTTTTTTACATATTTATGTTGTTATGCAACAACAATTTAAATAACAACCAAGTTAATAAAGATTGCATTAAAAAAGTCTTAATCAACTTCTTAAAAATTTCAGAGTTCAATCATGTGAATGAACACACATGAACATGAACATTATTTATGACTAGGGAAAAACTTCTGCAAAAGTGTGCTTAATTGTACTGAATGTACAATTGTAGTGTACTTCACATCGCAAAAGAATATTTACAAAAACCTTTACTAACAGATAATATAATAATAATGAAATAAAAGGCAACTTAAGTGCACTTCAACAGAGTACACTGTCATAACTGTTTCTTAACACACTTAAGTACAATCCTAAAAAGTAAATTTTGTTATAGTCAAATTAAAAGTTTACTTTAAAGTACATGTTAGAGCCATATTTCATATTTTTAGAATTTATATTTTCACTTTTTTTATGGAAATTTGGACATTTAATATTGAATATATTTATTTGGTTTATGTGTTCTTATGACACATATAATTAATGACAGAATTATCCTTTTTGGGTGAACTATCCCTTTAAGTCCCACTTAAGTGGGTCTACATTTCATTACCTGTAAATAAATGTCATGTTAAGTAAATATTAGTTTGTACTTATGCATTTTCTTTTTTGTATTTTACTAAATAACACATATGTGTACTCATTTCTCACAAGGATTAGCCTGTTAAGTTGACTTAAAAGAAATGTAATCATAATAAACTGGAATCTGTTACATTAATTGTAGATCCTATCTGCGTCATTCTGTATCCTCACCTTGATGTGTTGAATTGTTTTCACACACTCCCCTTTAATTTTCTCCCTGTGTTTAAGTTTCTCTTGTAAGAACCTCAGCTCCTCCTAGAATTAAACAAAATAAAATATATAAAAAGAGTATAGTGATATGATCGAACATCATGTGATTATAAAGTTGAGCAAAATGGCAGAGAGAAATACTGAGTGTATGAATGTGATGATATCTGTGAATAATTATTGCTTAAATTAAACAAGAGACATTTGTCCTACCTTATAAGATGAAACAACTTCACTGATGGGTCTGAATGTGTGCTTGACATGTTTATGTGAATCTCTGCACACTAAACACACAGGCTGTTTGTCCTCCAGACAGAAGAGTTTGAGTTTCTCACTGTGTAAACTGCAGACCTCCTCGGACCCTGATGAACTCCTCTCATTTCTCCCCTTCAGGAAGGACTCGCACAAGTTTCTTAACACAAGATTACATGGAGGATCATCTCGTGACGACCTTCTCCTGCAGACAGGACACTCTCTAGTGTTCCTGCTTCTCCAAAACTGTTGAAGACACTCTTTACAGAAACTGTGACTACACGACAGAAGAACAGGAGCCTTGAAGATTTCACAGCAAATTGGACAAGACATTTCCTTTGCAGATAGTGAATCCATTTTCACTGTTTTAGAGCACCAGCAAACGAGACTTCACTTTCCCAAATGATGGATTCAAAAGTAAACATGCAGGAAAATCACACAAACTCTACTGGCTATTTGGAAATAAACTTCTCAAAAATCCCCTTTGAAAGTGTCTCTCTTCTTCTCCACTGATTGCAGGTTCTTTTATGCTTTTGTCGAGACACTGAGATTAGAGTCGCTATAACAGTAAAAATACTGAGACAGTCAAGTCCTTGCAAGTTTTTTAATCACCTTAGGATATTAAAACAGGTCCGACGACACCATCAGAATTTCTTTCCTGTGACGTGGCTTGAACAGAGCCCAAATATGTTTTTCACAGCTCTGGGCTTGAAGGGGGAGAGAGAGGTGCGCGCGCAGTCGGGGAGGAGCTGAAAACGGAGACGCTCGCGCTGTGTTTGCAATGCATACCTTATTGAGAGTGAGGAGTCACGTGCCGATTTGGGCGGGGTCTGAGCCGGTCGGCCATGATGGTAGGAGACGCTATCGGTTGCCAGGGGCAACGCCTTCAGAACTTCACAGAGGCGCGACTAAACATTCCAGAAATAGCGAAAGAGAGACAGCGCAGCTTAGTGTTTGTTTACATTTCACCGATACGCCGCAGTTTCTTTGGAAGATATGGAGAAGGAAGATAAATGAAAGGGGTTCTATCGGGAGAGACTAAATAACAATGCAGCCAGCTTAGAGAAACTGCTTGTCAATAAACTGACAGCAGCAACAGCGAGCAAAGCCTGCTTTCAAAAGCAACACATTTCAGCACAGTTCGCCATTTATTTAACACAAACGAACGAAATTAATACTCTGTTATTCAACTAGAGTTGTTTCATTTGTTATAGATATATCTGTACCGTGAAATGTTTTAAAAATACACTTTTTTAATGACGTAGCAGCTACGATTCGCATTGACAGGGGAATGTCCGATCTATTCGCTTAACGTTGCACGGCAGGTGCAAATGCACGTATCTGATTCATATCAGATTTATTTCCACATATGAATGAGGCCTGAATGCAGGGGCGTAATTTATGGGGGGGTTGGGGGGGAGATAACCCCCCATATTTATACCCATGATCACATGAAAAATATGCAGAACAATTTTTTAAACTATATTAAACATTACAACCCCCCCAATGTTAAAACCAAATCTACGCCCTTGCCTGAATGAAACATCAAGTATGACTGAACTCTCGCAGTTTAACGTTACAGGTTTGGGGGTGTCTTGCACCCAGCCGCAGCAGACTTGTTCAGCTTCTAATGACTTAAAGCACGTTAGGCACTGATTCCATAAACAAACCAGGTAATTAACTTTGTCAGCGTATGTGAAAGGTGGTAGTGCTTTGGTCTTTCGTCCATTCTGTAGCAGGTCGTACGGGTCCATGTTGATGTCAAGTAGTTTCTCTAAATAACGCTGCTTTGTGTTGTTATTTAGTCTCTCCCGATAGACCCCCTTTCCTTTTGCTTCCCCCTTCTTCATTTATTCCCAAGAAACTGTGCCTTATCGCAAAAATGCAAACAAATATCAAGCTGCTCTCTCTCTCTGTCGCTATTTCTCTCGGTCTCACGGTCGAAGTAACCATGACAACGGATAGCGTATCCTACCAAGATGGCGAATCCTTCCCACAATGCAACACGGAGTGATACGCGTGACGTCACCTTCTCATTCAGCTGTAGTGAAATTAAATGGATGCAATATTTGTCAAATACACAGATGTTTCAGAGACATTTTCATTCAATACTTTATGTACTGCTTAAATGTACAATATGTAAGAATTTATCAAAATATCCAAAAAACACTTGCACGGTGTTTTTCAATTGTGTACTTACATTATCTTAAATGTTTCCAAGAATCTGTCAATTCAGAGAAATTCACAATTTTAAATAGCGCCCGTCCCTTGCCACTCGGTTTTCCACCGGAGTAAAGATAGTTTGCGGTTTGATTTTCAGTTTTCGTTTCGCTGTGGTCCCGCAGTGCGGTGTCGTGGACATGCAAATAATATCTCACGTCGTTATTCATGTTTTGTGAATTTGTGTAACAGTGTTTCTCCGGGTCAAAATCTTTTTTTTTTTTTTTTAATTGGGTATACAGCTCCAAAAGTCGGTCACTTAGGACTCTGAACCCAGTGTCACCTTGACATGCTCGATTTGTGAATTTTTTTCACAGCAAAGCTCTTGTCTGTAAAAAGTCCGTTAGACAGGAATGTTGAAAATAGGTGTTTTTCATGTTTAAACCATGGATATTAACAATTTATAATAAACACACAGTGCTGGATTACAAAAACACTTGTTTTAGATTGAACCTGATTTGTGAAAACTTTCACAGATCAGTTTGGGTCAGTTAACCCTTCCCCGGTTGGTTAACTAGGTCATTCTGATTTGTGAAACCTTTCAGAGGTCAGTTTGGGTCAGTTAACCCTTCCCCGGTTGGCTAACTAGGTCATTCTGATTTGTGAAAACTTTCACAGATCAGTTTGGGTCAGTTAACCCTTCCCTGAGTGGTTAACTTGGCCATTCTGATTTGTGAAAACTTTCACAGATCAGTTTGGGTCAGTTAACCCTTCCCTGAGTCGGTAACTTGGTCATTCTGATTTGTGAAACCTTTCACAGATCAGTGTGGGTCAGTTAACCCTTCCCTGAGTGGTTATATAGGTCATTCTGATTTGTGAAACCTTTCACAGATCAGTGTGGGTCAGTTAACCCTTCCCTGAGTGGTTAACTTGGTCATTCTGATTTGTGAAACCTTTCACAGATCAGTGTGGGTCAGTTAACCCTTCCCCGGTTGGCTAACTAGGTCATTCTGATTTGTGAAAACTTTCACAGATCAGTGTGGGTCAGAATGTAACGTGTGACAAGCAACAATGATCCGACAAAGAATCTTCTTCTTCTAGCTTTCCGGCAGGCTAGATGGCTTTCGGCACATTGCTGCCTCCCACAGTTCAATCTCGGTTATCATTTTATGACACCATCATTCTCAGAGGGCTAATCCTGTTGCAGATATAAAATCCATGACTGCATCCACTGTCCTCGATTGATTCTCATGAGGATTCAAAATATCTCTCAGTGTCACTGCCTGTATTCCATCTCCTGATACCACAGAGTAAAGTTGTTCTCTTTGCCCTTTATACTGTTGACATACCATAAACACATGATTAACAGTCTGTTGTTGATTGCAGGTTCTACAGAGTCCATCCTCATGTTTGCCCATCTTCGCTAGATCCCATGCAAGTCCACAGTGTCCCAGCCTTAGTCTTGTCATAATTACAGACTGTCTTCTGGATTTACCCAAATAACATTGCTCTGTCTTTACTTTGTTTTGTATTGCATAGTAATGACGGCCCTTTGTTTCCTTTTCCCACTGCCTCTGCCATACTACTATAGTATTTACTTTAATGACAGATCTACATTCAGCAACCCCAATACAAACTGCTAAATCAATGTCTCTTTTTAAAGTAATTTTTGCTGCCTTGTCTGCCACCTCATTCCCTTCTACCCCAACATGTGCAGGCACCCAGATAAATCCCACTGACCCTCCAGCCTGTTCATATACAACAGAACCATCAGCTCCATAAACAGATCTGGCCGAGCTCCCAAATTACTTCCTCTCAGAGTTTTTAACACTGAAGCCGAATCTGAGCATAATACTGCTCTCCTTGGTTGAACTTCCTCTACCCACTTTAGTGCCCATATAATAGCTAGAATTTCTGTTGTATACACCGATACCCCCTCAGACAGTCGCTTAAGCTTTACATATTCATATTGTGGGATATAAAAAGCAAATCCCGACTTCCCAGTTTGTGGATCTTGGGATCCATCTGTGTAAATCTGAAGATAAGTTCCCCACTGATTTTCTAGTCTTTGCTTGACCATATTGGGATATTCTGTGCCTTCATGATGTTTTCCATTATACTGAAATCTATTTCTGGACAAAGAAACTACCAGAGCAAACACCAGATAAAGGGTGAACACTTAGGGGAAAGTAGAAACAGGTGTCAAAGCAAATCAGCGCGAGCGCAGATTGCAATGACTAACAGGTGCAGGTAGAGAGAGAGGCCTGCAGAACGGAGCAGAAGAGAGAAAGTGTGAGTGTGTGTGAGAATCAAAAGGGAGGAGAAACCTGACTCATGACATAAACAAGTTAAATAAACTAGTGAGAAGTGTGTTGTAAGATTAAGAAAGTTTATTTTCTAAAAGTGCACTGTAAAATATTTCCAGGATTTAACGAAATGTTACAGTATTCTTTGCATTATGATAATTAGTGTTCTCTTCGACATCCAGCTTGGACCGTATTTACTTTTTCAATCCTTTTCTCCCAGTCAGTGTAACAGAACACAACAGGTGATATTGAGAAAATATATATTATTATTTAAATATGTGAATATAATGTATACATTTTTATCTCTTCTTTGTCTTCTTTCTTCTATGGTCTTCAACTGTATCAAGTGGTGGATCATCTTCTTTACTTCCTGTGCAGAAGATGACTGGCTTCTTTGATTTAGTTTATGGATCGTTAGGTAGAGCTCACAGCGGGTGATCGGTCAGAATCACACAAGATGTCTTCATTGAAAGCATTTATTGGATTTACAACTGCATGGTTGAATGTACATTGACGTGTATGTGTGTGTGTGGTTCTGAAAACAATTAGAATAAATAAACAAACAATTAGTTAAATGCAAACTAATGATTATCATGCAACACAACCTCTATTTGTATCAACTGTATCCTATTCTAATAATATAGCAGGAATAAAATACAGTAATATTTTAACATAACCGAAACTGGGATTAACAGAATGAAAAAAGGCTGTTCTGTAGATCTAAACAACTACAATTGTAACAATGACAAAGGATAAACCATTCGCAATACAATGACTCCCTCTGCTGGTCACATAAATAACTAAACCAAGCCGCTCCGAGAGGTGTCACGTGATGACCAGTGTATATGCGAGAGGCGCGCGCCCTATAACCGATTAACTGGACTGAAGGCAAATATCGCCGCGATAGGTTACAAACAGTGGCGATTTCTTTAAGACTGCAAGGGAAGCTCAGCTTCCCCTATAATGTCAAAAAATTAATGGTCAAATGTGTACTATTGTGTTAACATTTTATTGACTAAAAATGCGTTAGAACACGGTCATATCGAAGACGAGTTCGTTCAGAATCAGCTACATATAGCAGGTCGGCTGACTCGATCTCCTTCCCGTAGCGCGTCACAGTGCATTTCCCTATGGCATTTCCCCATTGAAGCAGAGCGTCCATTGACTTCATTGGGGCTGCTTTGAACAGTTTTTTTCAGTGCTT